CTCTCTCTCTCTCTCTCTCTCTCTCTCTCTCTCTCTCTCTTTCTCTCATAGAGTAAGGGGACAAGCAACTGCTTGAACATTGTGACCATGTTCAGCAAAAAGCACAACACACTTTTGCATAAAACAAACAAACAAACAAACAAACAAACCAGCAAATTAATATGAGGCTCACTCCACGGAAACATTGAATCAAAATTTTTTTAGCAACTTTGTTAATAAAAAAACTTCATAAACATTTTAAAGCAACCTTCATATCAAAGTATAAGAAAGTGATGATATTAGACACCAAAAAAAAAAAAAAGTTGAAACAAAACAAAACAAAACAAAACCACAGACAGTGACACACAGGCAGTTTTACAAGAAACTGGGCCCTACTGATCAGCACTGCACAACAACTACGAACGAAAGACGTATAGAGTAGAGGGAACCAACAAGGTCAAGATGCAGAAAATAAAAAGTTTTTTTAAGTCCAAAAGGAGAAACAACTAGAAAAAAGCTTATGGCAGCCACATGAAGAAAACACTTGAGAACGAATAAGCGGTAAAGTGTAAAAAGGGGATGATATGGCCTCACTTAACTACTTTCTATAATGTACCGGTTTTACGACCCCATCGACACAATAATTAAGATCATTTAGGAGAGCGGCTCCGACCCTGTCTGTCAGGGCCAGCCCAGGCTGAGAAGATTAAAACAATCCAGCAGAAACACGAAGATACCCGATAAAAATTCTAAACTCATGAGAATCGAACCTGAGTCTTCTGCGTGCACAGTGTTGCGTCCACTACCATAATATGGTGCCAATGATATGATAAAACATGACTGTGTAGTGATGTTTGAATGTCAGAGGTCACCTGAATATCTGAAAAGGTGTGTGTGTTTCACGTACAATTCAGATACGAGGATGATTTCATTCAAATACCTTAGGTTGAACATAGTCCAAAGGTGATGGTGACAAATGTATATTTTCAGTTATCGTTTCGTAAGAAACAATAACATTTCAATTGAATGAGCTGCAGAGTTGGCCTACCATAGAAAACTGCATCTCCTTTCGACACTCAATAGCAGCAGAGGATGAAAAAGTAAAAAAGTAAGTAAGTCAAGTTTCTTAAAATTCTGGGGGCCCTAATACTTACAGAACAGATTCGATCTCGCACGCGTGCAAGAAGGCTTGATGATCACAGTGCAGCACAAAGATCAGGGGAGCCAGCAGTTCGTGCATACCCTGGGGAGATTTAGTTTTAGTTTTAGTAACAGTTTTACGGCACTTGCAACACAATAAGGTCATATAAGTGCCAAAGACTAGAGGTGTTACGAAAGAGTAACAAAAACATAAAAAAGAAAGAGGAGAGATCAGGACGATAGATGTTTGATAGGAAAGAAGGAGCAAACCACACCAGAGCACCAGCCAATCACCCACCCTGGGGAGATTATAATAGAGTTTAGCTTTAGTAAAATTTTTACTGCACTTGCAACACAATTAGGTACAATTAGGTTACACATGTGTTGAAGATTTGAGGTGTAACAAGAGAGCAGCATAAGAAAAGAGGAAGAACGATAATGATGATAGATGTTTAATAGGAAAGGAGGCACAAACCACACTTGAGCACCCACCAACCAACCACCAAATGACAGAGGGAAAGAAAGTGGGGTATTTTGATAGAAAGACTACTTGAATTTCTTCATGAGGGTAAGAATATATAAAAATGTATCATGGTGTGGCGGACTCAGGCGCTTGTCAATTTTTGGGCATGTGGAGTTATTGATATAATCTTAAAGCTTGTTCATTTTTCTTGTTTCTGATTTTTTTTTTATATCCATGTATCTTATAGAAATCAAGATGTTATCGATTGAAAGAGGGGGAGGTCACCTTGTTTCAGAGGTAAAAATAAAAAATTAGCAAAAAACGGCCACCAAAGTTTGGTAAATTCCATAAAAATCCACACAAAAATGTGATTTTATTATATAGACATAAAAGGTGTTGAGCAAAAAGACAAGAATTTGATTGTAAAATTGCCAAACCGGAGGAAAAATGCCAGTTTCTTCAATTTCATTATTTTGACCAGCACCTGATTTCACCATGCAGCCATACAGGTAGTATATAGCCATGACATGTTTTTTTTTCTATGAAACTTTATTTCAAATTCACTGAAATCCCATTCAGTGCCCTGATGGGAAAAGAAGCAATGCAAGGAAAGGGACGAAGCAATTTTTTTCAGAGGATCAAATTCTCTCATAACTAATAAACTACCAGTAGAGAACAACACAACAGCAAAAGACAATGACAATATCTAGGTGTACAGTCAAACCTGCTCTTGCGGCCACCTGTGTAAGACAATCTTAGGTACAAACAACCACTTCCTATTCCCCCCCCCCCCTATTGCGAAACGCAGATGCAGACACTTACACCAATCATTATTTAAGGAACTCACATGACCTCAGCTGAGCCGGTCAATCATTAAAAGGTTTTCAACCATCAGAATCACTTGCTCCTCAAACATGGTCAAAGATTCCACTTGCTTTATAAAAGCTGTTTTAGTAAGAGTTCTGCAATACATGCGCTACAATATTAAGTCATACAAGTACCGATGATTAGAGTTGCTACAAGAGAGTAACAAAGACAAAAATGGTGGAGGAGAGATAAGGACGATAGATGTTTGATAGGAAAAAAGGAGCTGACCCATTCACAGTCATTCTTTCTTTTCACTTATGAGGTGTTATGACTGGTTGCGGGCAGTATTGCATACAGACGTTAGTCATTTTTGGCGGCCTTTGAGATACGTCTGTATGAAATACTGACCGCGTGGTGTTGTTTCATAAATTCCACACGCTATCATACCATTGTGACAAAGTCACACCTTGACAATTCACCCTGAAGCCTCTGGTTCTCATTTGTACCTAGAACAATGCACATCATTCGGACATTCACACACACACATATATTTTTTTTCTAAAAGGAAAACCTTTTTATCTTCTTTCTAGTGTCAATATCGACAACTGATCATTATTTACATCAAAGAATAAACAAGGTAAGCTAAAGGGTAGTAGTTGAGTTTGGCCACTTCTTTAGTCTCCCTATGACCAGTTTCTTAGGCAGAGACCACTGTAGTCTTGTTCAAAACTTTCCAAACATAGTCAAAATTGTCTTAGACAGCCAACCATTGTCGAGGAGAAATGTGGGCGTCTCAGACGTGGCCATCATACAATTGTGGCAGTCTTAGACAGGTGGCCATGTTACAAAATGTCATTATAATATTTTAAAATAAAACGCAAGGGGGGAATCAGACAGTGGCCATTTGTACAGGTGATTGTCTCACACAGGTGCATCTCAGAGCAAGTTTGACTGAACTTTATGTTAATCATCAACCTAAAGAACACTGAAGCAAATAAACACTTAAAAGAGGTTCAGCATCCAACAACCAATATTCACACAAAAATATATATCACTCACTGCTCATACAACATCCATAGCAGTGTCCACACAGATAAATAAAGTAACACTTAACAGCGCCGTAATGAAACATGGATAAAAACAACACAGAACAACAATAAAGTGTACTATAACAACACATTTAAAAAACACTTAACTCCTTTAAAATGAGTATACAACACATTAAAAAAACTGGACTAAACTACAGCCATAAAAAAATGGAAAAAAAACCCATTAAAACACAGTGAGTCTCTGTGACCAGTATGAAGAAATCTTTGTTTTGTTTTAGGAAGCATTTTATGGCACTTGCAACACAGCTAGGTCAGACAAAGTACTGAAGACTGAAGGTGCTACAAGAGAGTAACAGACACAAAATAGAAGAAAGAGAGATAAGGATGATAGATGTTTGATGGGAACGAAGGGGCAAACAACATTAGAGCAACCCCCATCCCACGAAGAAATCTAACTAAAGAGAGCAATTTCCACAGGGCTTGTAGAAGTGACAAAATCACAACCAGAGTGTTGTCCAGACACTCAAGGCACATCCACAACATGCAGGTAAAGCCAGGGCTGGGGGAGGGGGGGGGGGGGGGGGGGGGGAGCATGCCTTCTTGACAGACAAAGCCTTGAAAAGCCAAAAAGCAATTTCCAAACTACAATCACATTTATCCTTTTCTGAGTTGTACAAGTGCAAAAGCATTCATCTACACCTCAGTCATATTGACTCTTATAAAGGCCTCACTACATAGATTAATTAATTAAATAATTATTTAATTAAATAATTAATTAATCAATCAATTAATGATTAATTAATTAATTAATTAATTAATTAATTAATTAATAGAAGAGCTTATCCAGACTGTTCCCAAATATGATGTTAGGCTTTTTTTTTAGGTGCATAATCTTCACAGTAGGTTCATTAGAACGTTAGACCAGGCTCACTTATTGTTTTCTCTTTCCCTTTGAAACATTGTATAAATACCAAACACACACAAACCTGCTTATAGGAGCTGGTAGCATGTTCTCGACTATAGCAAAAGAGTATGTCTATCATCATAGCGCCCATGTCGGTACTGCGGAAGAACTCCACCTCTGGAAAACTGAACACAAAAACCGAGAACGTTTAATTTAACAAATCTATTAGCTTGTTGCGTTCATCAACTTTTGTTAACTTCTACCTGTGGAATAATATACCACAATAATTATGGCGGTCAAACCTGAAAAAGACATCTATTTCTTCATAATTGTAGGACAAAGAAGGAGTGAAATGCAGGCAGCTATATCATTAGCATGCATAAAACAATACAGACACAAAAACACTGTTTGCTTCTAGAGACAAAAATCCCAAAGTGGCATGGGCTCCAACAAAAGGGTGGCAATAATCATTAACAATTATAATAAGTCCACGGAGTAAGGAGTTTATAATGAGGCTTCTGATAAAATAAGATGCTTGGTGCATATGTAACATCTCTATAGACTTATTTTAAACCCGGACTCTCTTTAAAGTTTCAGATGTTGATTTTTCCACAAGACCAGACCTTTTATAAAGTTTCAGCTGTTAATCTTCTGCAAGACTAAACTCTCTATTCTATTGGACCAGACCCTCTAAAAGGTTTCAAATGTCAACATTCTATTGGCCCACACCCTCTACAAGACTTCAGATGTAAATATTCTAGAGGACCAGAATCTCTATAAAATTTAATAATAATAATAATAAATAGCATTTGTATATTGCATGTCCCCACTCGAAAGCAGGCTCTATGCACTTTATTCTATACTATATTTCATATGCCAATATTACTTTTGACATACAATGAAGTATAAGTATATTCTGTCGGTATGAGCTACAGCCACGCACTAAACCTATGTTTTACCTACTCCCTCACTGTGCAAAATGCAAAGACAACAGATAGGAGCTACATTCTAGGGACAGTAAATAATGCATTTAAAAAATCAAACACTTCACCATCGTTAAAACTTTCTGAAATTCACTCACAGAACCTCTTTGCAGAAAATAGATAGTGAAAATGTGGTGCTTCAAAATAATTGTCACATACCAAGTCATTGCAAATGTCTTCAGACTGTTTTGTTTTATTTTGTTACTAATTTCTTTGCTATTAATTTAAGAGCTATGCATTGTTATGTGTTAAAATATCAAACCAGACACAGTACAGTCTGCTTAAACACCAAACATGATTGATCCAAAATCAGCTGTAAACCTAAAGTAACTAAAATCCCAATTGTTTTCGTCTTTTATTTGAGCAAACTCTCTTAACCTAAAACCCAGCTGCATTGAAGAAAATCTGGCGGTCCCACAGATTTCCATTCAAGGCGACTCCACTGAACTTCAAAATAATGATTTTAAATTTGAATACTTTTTTAAATTCCCTCTATGCTTTACTTTTTCTGTACATAAGACAATCCAACCAGCTACATTTCTACAGTTGTACTATGCACACAACACTGAAAGTGTGAGACAAAAAGTGATTATACAGATTATACAAACCAACACTGGACGGTAAAAGCAAACAATCAAGGCCAGATGTATGTGACGAAAAAGCACAACATGTTACAACATCAAGAAGTGACTGATTGGTTACATTCAGAACAGAATATTCTTTTTGACGAGAAAAAAAATTAGGCAAGCCAGCAGGTAGCAAAGCCAGCCAATAGTCAGTTTGGCAGCCCAACACAGTCATACAACGACACACAAACAAGAAAAACAAGACCAGATGGATGCAACATGATTTGAGAGCACATCTTCAGAGAACCAGCACCTGTCTATAAGAAAGTTCTGGATTCTCCTTTGCAAAGATGAACAGAATGTTCACCATCAGATTACGGAGCTGGTTTGATTGGAAGAACTCAATCTTCGGATAGCTGCATGAGGTACCATTTCAATTTTGTGGGCAGGGAGAGAGATGGAAAAATATAGTAAGACGGTAGTCATATAACGTAGAAAGGAAGTAAGGGATAGGGGTAGGTTAAAGATTGCACTACCCCCCCCCCCCCACACCAATCTGGCAGCTTATGTTATCATACTCCCTTTATCATACTTTAATTAACAATCCGTCTACTTTTCCTACTTTCCTACAAAACTCTATTCCTCTATTCTATTCTACAATTTTACTTTGCTGTTTGCTTCTTTCATTCTATAGTCAATTCTTAAAACAGTCGGTAACAAAATATAAATCAAGTCACTTTTCCACTGAACTGAATGTCAGGAAGAAAATTTACTTCCATACCACATTAACATATCACAACTTGTCAGCCAAGCATTTACTGCCTTTACATGTAACCCTAAAAATGACCGTCTCTGTTTTCTAGTACATAACTGAATCTTTTTATATAATAACTAAAGGAGGGTCACTGTGCAAAGCTGCTTAAAAAAAGGCACATAAACACATATTGACGGGTGACATTCAATTTCTGTGGCTGTAGTAATTTGTCTATTGCTGTTACTGCTATGTTCTATTACATAACAATTAAAACAACATGCTCTGATGGCATTTAATTTATTGTGCACAAGTCTATTGCTGTTACTGTTGTGACCGATTACATTTTCAATAACATGCTCTGCTGTCATTTAATTTGTTACCCACAACTTTTCTATTGCCGTTAAAGCTGTGTTCTGTTAAATTACAATTTAAATAACATGCTCTGATGTCATTTAATTTGTTACGAACAACTCAATATGAAACAATAATCTTCACGGTCGCTCTAAACAGTTTGCACACTGTGACCTTTTCAGCTCAAAACAACTCAATACAGACTAGTAGGATAGGACGGGGTTACTTACGTTCTGATCACATCTTGTTTGATGGTCAAACGCAGTTCATTGTCTTGGAAGAACTTGTTCCATGGACTCTGTGGTGAAAGAAAAACAGCTGTTGTCATTTTATCACTTACTGTACGGAAGGCTCAAATAGGGAAAAACCCTAAAATACCGAACCAGTTTAGAGCGTTGAAGCCATGGTAGTATTTCTTTAAAACTAAAAAAGAGCGTCACCGCCCAAGAAACACGTTTAAAAATTCAGAGGTTCATTAACCATTCTGCTATCATATAGAGTGACTTCCTTTGATATTTACTTCAATGCAGTGGGTTCATTCGTGATTTAATTATGTTTAGAGAGCCTGGTTGAGCCGGCGATTAAAGTTGCCAGGGCTAATGACCCCACTACGGCCTGGCGACTAAATAGCCGACAGTACTGTAAGAGTTAAAGTGCCTGCGAGCCTGTCACATCTTGTATCTGTCACTTATTCTGTCTGCCAGTTTCACTTCGGTAAAAGTTTTACAGTGGTAACAATTGCATGAGCATCACATTGTCTATTTGTCACTCATTATGTCTGTTTACCATTATGTCTGTCAGTCACTCACCTGTCTGCTTTTCACTCTGAATGTCTATCTGTTTCTCACTTTCTTTGTCTGTCTGCCATGTACTCTAAATGTTCGTCTGACAGACCATGATCTTTAACTTTCCAATCAAAGCTCATATATATTCGCTGTCTGTCTGTCTGTCTGCCTGTCTATCCGTGTGTCTGTCTGTCCATCCATTTGTCCACTCATCCGCAAACCCCCACCCCCCTTCAAATCTTTCTGTCCGTCTCCTTTGAAACCAATTTATGCCCACATTAAAATCGTGAAATGCTAAAAACTGGCTCTGACTTTAACCCTGCGCTATTCTTTACAGATCTCTCAAAAAGACACCTGAGAGTACATTCAATTTTAGTTAAACTTTTAAGGCACTTCAACACATACTACGGTTATATAAGTACCAAAGATTAGAGGTTTTACAAGAGAGTAACAAACACAAAAAAAGGAGGGGAGATAATGATGATAGATGTTTGAAAGGAAAGAAGATTATAATCAAACCACACCAGAGCACCCGCCAACCACCCACGCTATTCTTCATAGATCTCTCAAAAAGACACGACAACTGAGACTACGTTCACATGTTGGGGGAGATACACGGCCTATCAGAGAAACTAACATTGGCAAAGTAAAATTTGCCCAGAACCACGACATCATGGACACAGAATCAGTTACTGCTATGCTTAGGAACTCCAGTCCGAGCACAGGACACCTGACTGCCAGAAGGTATTCCCTAGGGCATGAACAAAAGTCAAACCATTGTTAAGATTTGAATGTCAAACTCCCTCTTTTAAGTTTAGTTTTAGTAAAACTTTTACAGCACTTACAACACACAATAAGGTCATATAAGTGCCAAAGATTAGAAGTGTTACAAGAGAGTAACAAATACAAAAAGAAGGAGGGCAGATAGAGACGATAGATTTTTTTATAGGAAAGAAGGAGCAAACCACACCAGAGCACCTGCCAGCCACCCAGTCAGATTCACTCATGTTGGTAAAGTTTCACAAATAACAAGCTCAAAGTGTCGCCACTTAAGGGAATACTAGTAGGCCTGATATGGGCTTTGAGTTGTAATTGTAACTGTAGACTGTAGATGTTTTACGCCACCATCCACACAATCTACATCATTTAGAAGGCAGGCTGCTTCAAATCTGCCTGTCTTGGCCAACTCGGCCAAGAAGAATAAATGCCCCAGCAGACAGACGGCGATATTTAATATTTTTTTAATGCTTTGCAGTCACACAGCATACCAAAGCGACAGGCAAATTTCTTCGGACACACAACGCAGAAAGAAGAATTGGAGAATATTGTAACAACAAGCAAGTTTGATGGAAAGAGAGGCAGAGGCAGACAGAAGGAATAGATACTGGACAAGATGACAACATGGCTAGGAGTAGCAAGAACAACAGACACCATTGCTGCAACACGAGACAGAGTGAAGCGGAGGTCCATGATCGCCTACGCCAGTCAGCAAGGCACCGGATGATGATGAATCAGACAGCCAGCGGTACAAAATACCCCATCTGGTCACCTAGCGAGGAGAGTGACTACAACGGACTTCTCCGGCCTGTTGCAGAACTGACCTGAACGGATAATTTTCACTGTCGCATTATTGCACCACCAAGAGAAGACAAAGTGTTAAAAGCTCCCCACACAGAAATCAAACTCACATCCTGTGCGTGCAGCACTGAAGCACAGAGCCACTACGCCACAGACGCCAGTTATTTTGAGTTGTTTTCCAGCACCAAAAAACACTGAGACTCTCCTCCCCCCCCCTCTCCCTCCCTCCCTCCCTCCCTCCATTATTATACTCTCACCTCTTCATCCTGAGACAAGGGGTTGTGTAATGACAGATTCACAGAATCCACCGCTTTCCGAGGGTTTACAATCAGCTGGGGAAAGATTTAAAAAGAGTAAAAAGTTAAGAGCAAGAAATTTGGACTACAAAGACAACATTATAGTTGAAGAAATACAGTTGTTGGTAAAGTTGACTCATTCTGGATGTAATTCTTTTCGGTGTTTGAAACCATTTGGATGTAACTAATTTGTATACCCTTGCAATCATTTTGAGGGTATAGATATGAAGCACCTTTCACAGATGGTGTAGTATACAATGTAATGAAATGCTATATATCATTAGAAAGGTAATTTAATGTTGATATTCACTGATGTTTCAAAAGCCATAGAATGAAAACTGTAACAAACTTTGGAGCCTGTTGAAAACACTGATACATCAGCGATACATCCAAATATGTTCCCTGATGAAAGTTAGAAAAAGCATCGGCAATAAGTCTGAGAAAGGAAAACCTTTCAAAACCATTCCAAAAGTTCCACACACAAAAAGTTCCACATAATTTGTATCTCTTGAGTACATCAGGCTCCCTTCTCCACACTCGTATATCATTTCTTTGACTTGGTTTAGCAGAAATTTAGACATCATTCTGTTTCGTTTATTTTCACTTGTTGAGTCCCACCAGTGCAGAAATTTTCGTCACTCCTCTCAAGAGCAGTCATGTGATGAAGTATTCCACAGTTATAGCTACTCTTACTGACATCAGTTTTGACACCAACATTTTTTTTTTTATTAAAAACACAATGATACTGCCAAGAATGTCCATACCTGTCTTTAAAAAAAGCACTTTTCACCCTCAACAATGGGTGACCGTATTGGATCATTTTGATAGTACTAAAAATCCACAGTAAACAATAAGTTATCATAGCAAGCAATAAAGTTACCAATTCTAATCCTAAACAAGCAAAAAGTTATCCAATAAAACAATAGTTAGCTACTCTTTCCATTAAATCAGGTGAGAGGAATTAAAATCCTAAACAAAAAATACTTTATTTCAAAAAGCAAAAGTTAGCTACTCTTTCTTACACCTGTTATGAGATACTAAAATCTTACCACAAAAAGCAATAATAACATCACTTAGGAGGTACAGTCGACCTGCTTTTTAGTGGGGGGGGGGGCTTTGTTTAGTATGGGGTTTTACGGCGCTCGCAACTGCATAAGGTCATATGAGCGCGCCAAACACAAGTTGGTTGCATTTGCAACAGTTCACTGCACGGTTGGTCAACTATTAGACTTTAAAATGTTAAAATATTAAAATTCGGTGTAAATATATTTTCAATTTAAAACAACTCTTATAAATAACAATAAAATTTTTAACAATATTGTTTCATTTTATAATTTCCCATAAAGGCCAATGACCTTCATAAAATCCAAGATTCTGTTGGGACCAACGACGGAAAAAATGTCTTGCAATTTCTTGCATTTGAAGTATTTCCTTCGGAAGTCTCCAAAGTCTAGACATTCAGTTAAATTGTGTCTAATGGTAAAATCTGTGTCGCATCCGACACAGAACGGCTTCTCATCTCCCTGTAAGAGGTATTTGTGTGTCAGGGCCGTGTGTCCGATGTGCAATCGAGTAAAAATGACTCCATCTCTTCTGGAGAGGTCCGAAGGATTTCGCGGTCCCAGTTTGGGTTTTATATTATAGAGTTTGTTATTCTTCTGTTTTTTCCAGTGGCTCTCCCACAGACTGGAGGTGTCGACCTGCTTTAACGGAAACCTGGGTAAGACAGAAATCTGTGTAAGACATAAACCTGTCTAAATGGAATTTCCCTGTTTCCCACTTGATAAATCCCTTTTTAATTACCTGTTTAAAACGGAAACCTGTCCAATGCGGAAACAGAAAGAAAAATCAGCTCCCTTCTGATGGTTTTTACCTACCTAAGATGAAAAATGCTTTGCCCACTCAGCCCTGATTTGAAACAAATCTCGCAAGTTTGGTTCCGCCTATTCTAAACTTAACACCATGCTGCCAGGCGAGGGAGTGGAGATGGGGTGCAATTTAGGGATCGACGTTATCCCATCCATATGAGCTCTTCTTAGCGCTGCAGATGGTCACGGCTGTGTGGGAGTGAAATCTCCACGGAAACTTTCACGGGTAGTCACGAGGTCATTTCCTGCAAATCCGATCAATGAAAACAAGCCTGCGTATTATCACATCCTTTATGATAATTTGTATGTGACTGATAAAAATAGAATTCAAGAAAAATATTCTACTTTTATGTAAAATCCGATCAAAATTCTCCGACGGGCAAAAAAAAGGAAGGGCTCCGATTTAATCAGGGTACTTGGCAGGTCTGCATAAGAAAGAAAATTCACCTTGTTTTTCAGCTCCTCAAACTTGGCCCTTGAGACACGAGTCTTCTCAACCCATTGCCCCATGTCGGCTGGCAGTACCTCCAGGAACAGCTGAGGAATAATCGAAGGAATTTTATTAGCAAACCACAAAGAGAAACAACTTTTGTTTTGTTTATTCATTTAAGTAAGTCTTTTACAGCACTTGCAACACAATAAGGTCACATAAGTGCCGAAGATTAGAGGTGTTACAAGAGGGTAACATGCACAAAACAGAAGGAGAGGAGTTAAGGACAAAAGATATTTGATAGGAAAGAAGGAGCAAACCACACCATAGCACCCACCAACCACCCAAGAAACAACCTTGTCTCCGAGAAATTTGTTTTATGACTTCAGCATACGGCGTTAAACACACTAAATGACAGTTAGTTGAGGAAACAGGGGCATAATTCCCCCCCTACATTCTGTGTACCAAACAGTGAACGAAACACAGTCAAAATTGTCGAAGACAGCCACCCATTGCTGAGGAGAAAAGTGGATTTTCTGAGAAAGGTGGGTGTCTTGGACGGTGTCATTATAATACAGTGCAGCCTCTCTATAACGACCTGCGATATAACAACATCCTCTGTATAGCATCATGGTGCCCATGTCCCAATTTTTTCCTTTTATATATTATTAGTAATATTTTTTTACTGCCTCTCTATAATGAAATTTTTTTTCTGGTCCCGACAATGTCGTTATAGAGAGGCTACACTGTACTAAAAAAAAACCTACAAGGGGGGATGGGGGAATGATCATTTGTACGGGTGACTGTCTTGGACAGGTAGGGCACGTTCCACTGAACACGTCCTTGTTGTGTCGGTTGTCTGTTGCTATCTGTTGTCCTTGAGCTGTGATTGGCTTCTGGGTACCATTTCCTCAGGTACCATAAACTTTACGACCCCCACTTACGGCAATAAACTAGGATAGGAGAGTTCATAGGGTGGAAGCCAAGGCTTTGATTGTTTTTTAGCTTTAGTATGAGTTTTACGGCACTTTCAACATAATTATGTCATATAAATGCCGAAGATTAGATGTTTGTTTGTTTTTGTAAAATGTTTTACGGCGCTTGCAACTGCAAAAGGTCATATGAGCGCGCGGGACACACCTAATATTTTCAATTGGTAGGAAATTTTGAATTTTGCCCGGGTGGCGGCCGAAGTCTACTCTTATCGATTTTAGACCACCAAGGGATCTTTAACGTGCGCAACTTGCACACGGTCGCTACCCGGATTCGAACCCGGGACCTTTGAATGAGAGGCCAACACTTTAACCTCTAGGCCACGAGAGCCCCCGAAGATTAGAGGGGTCACAAGAGAGTAACAAACACGAAAAAGAAGAAGGGGAGAAAAAGACGATAGATGTTTGATTGGAAAGAAGAAGCAAACCACACCAGAGCAACCGCCAACCACCCATGGCTTTGATTGTGAATTAGTCGTGGAGTAGATGCGGGGTAGAAAGGATGTAGAAGCTTTTGTTTGTGACTTGTAATAGTGAACTAACTACAGTTCTAGAACTCTGTGTTTGTTTTAATGTAAGTATACCTTAATGAACCCACACAAGGACACCGCACACAATGAATTTACAAGGAGAAACTTGGTCAGTTTTTAGAAAACTGTGCTCCAAATTTACAAGGACAAACTAGGTCAATTCCACTACGGCAATTACAAGAAAATTGAGCTCCAAATTCGCAAAGAGAAACTAGTTCAAATATAATTTTTAAAAAGCTGAGTTCTAAATTTGCTAAAAGAAACAAAGTAAAACCTTCAGCACACAAAACCCCATATTCTGCTGGTACCCTTTGACGCACCTTCCAGACAACACTTCTGAAGCGACTGCTCCGCAGCTTCCCCTCAGAGGCGCGCACCTTCAGCTTGCGCATCATCTCTGCCTGGGTGAACAGCTTCTCCCACTCGAGGCTGTACCAGCACAAGGCAGAGGAGAGAAAGTTTTAGTTTTAGTTTTAGTAAGAGTTTTACGGCATTGGCAACACAATAGGGTCACATAAGTGCCGAAGATTAGAGGCGTTACAAGCGAGTAACAATCACAAAAGAGAAAGTTCTAGTTTTAGTAAGCGATTTATGGCACTTGTACCACAATTAAGTTCTATAAGGGCCAAAGATTAGAGGTGTTTAATGACAGTAACAAACACAATAAAGAAGGAGAGATAAAGACAGATGCCCAATAGGAAAGAAGAAACAAACGAAACCAAAGCACCTATCAACCACCCACAGAGAAGAGAAATTGGCCTGTTTGGCTTAGACTTATTTTAACCCTCCACTATACCTTAAAGAGATAAAGGGAAGACAAAGTTAATTTTGTGATGTACCCCTTGTCTCGCCTATTTAAATTTACAAGTGCTTTTCATAAGTAAGGCATTCGAAACTTACATTAACACCATGTATAACACACAATATTTAAGTTGACGTGTGAAACAATAAGAATGGGGGTCAACTCCATTCTTATTACAGCTGAGGAATCTAAAAATAATTTGTCAAATCCTGGAGTGCACTTGAAATCAATGGGGAAACGTAAAGCACATGCACAACCACTTTGAAGTATAATTTCAAACTTAAAATAAAGACCTGTTTTTATTTATACATTTCACTTATGACTTTAACTGGCTCAATGCAAAACCTTGTTAGCATTGGAAATCTAAAGGCCTGCACATTCCTACAATGTTACAATGTTGCAGTTTGTTCGATTTGTGTTGGCAATGGCAACATTTTACAACAGACCCACCCCTTTTCCATTTCTCTAAACATTCTTAGCCCAAGTTTATTTGAGTAAAGAGAAGTACACCGACGCCATCAAGTTTATTCAGAGCAGGAAAAAAAGCAAGACATTCAGACAAATACATGTACAATAGAGGAGAAAAAGCAAAAGCATGACCCGCCATGGACCTCCTTCAGTCACCCCCAAATGCTGCATCAATACTGTCTTTCGAAAAATCGAAATTCTATAGGTTTAAGGTGCCTTTCAAAACTGCAAGGTAATTCAACACTTACAGTACCGAAGACTCATACAGTGAAAATCCCTCAAGTAACGAATCAGTTCAGGAAACAGAAGTCATGGTAGAATGTTTCTAGAAATTTTTTAAACCTTCTCACAGCCCAAGAAATATGCCTTAAAAATTCACTGATGTCCATCAATCATTCAGCTATCATATAGAGTGACTTCCTTTGGTATTTACTTCAGTGCTACAATGCGCGACCCCAGTGCTTTCTTGTCATTTTTAATAATAGTGAAAACAGTTTATAACAAAGAATGAGCTTAAGAAAATGTCAAATTTTCAATGTTTAATTAAATGGAGATACGACAAGAAAGCACTGAGGTCGCACTGAGGTCGCGAATGGGTGAGGTGGCCTTGGTAGCCTAGCTGTAAAGCCACCGGATCCGTAATCTTGAGATTGCGGGTTTGGGGTTAGAGCCTCAGCTCGGTCCGACATTGTGTCCTTGGGAAACGCACTTTGCACAAATTTCCCACTTGGCTCGGTCTTTTCGGAGATGGACGTTAAATTCAGAGGTCCCTCTTAACTAACCTAATAGAATTGATAGGGGCGTTTAACTTACACCATTTCATCATTTCACAATGGGTGAAAAACCGTCCACACGGTAGGGCTGGGTTGTGAGCGCGAGAACGAAACTGAATCGCCACTCTTGCCTGCGGAACGCAATTCGCGATTCACTTCAGCGGAACACGGAACAGTATCGCCTTCCAATTCCCGATTCACTCCCCTGTCGCTGTCACCACCTTGTGGCTTGTTTAACCTACTGCTGAGTCAAGTCACGAGTGCAAGAACGGAACACTTAGTATGGCTCCCCTTATTTTACAAAAGATGGCATAGTCCAACCCCCCTATTAAAACAAAATGAACGGGGTCCTACCAACAGACAGAAGGAATTTTATGGAGCCATTGTTTTAGCGAATCATGGGGTTGGGGGGAAGGGAAATTTATGGGGGGTCACTAATTGAAGTCAGTAGATAGAGCAGCGCAACAAAGGGAGTGGGGGCGGAGAGGATGGCGGAACAACAAGAGTGGGACTCGCGCTCGTCAAGTGGTATTGATATGACACTGTTCAGTTTCAGTCAGTGTTCCGCCGCAGTTCCACGAGGGCTCGCGTATTCGTGATTCTTTGAAGCCAACGGAATCGTCACTCTCAAATTTGGCGAGCAGGATCCAGCCCTACCACACAGTCACAGATCACTTACCTATACGAGTGAGAGAGACTGGCTGCAGGTGAACCATAGTCTGGATCTACCATCTCCCATTTGCCATCCAAGCTGGATCCTCGAGACATCTGTTCTGAATTGTTGTTGTTCTCTGGAAAAGTTTAGTTTTAGCAATAAAAGAAAGTGATTAAATACAAAAAGTATACATGTAAAAAGTAAAGTTGTTCCCGCATCCGATCCGGACACTGGGATTTGCCTTGTTAGTGAGACATTTTCCTGGGCCTTCGGCATACTGTGGTAGGGTGGCCAGTTCCTTTCCACGCCGCCTTTGCTTCCCCAATTCAAAGTCAGGTACCCATTACTGCTGGGTGGGTAGGAGGGGGGGGAAAATAAGCTGTGTCCGAACCGAGGTTCGAACCCGGACTTTCCGCTTCAGAGACGAGCGCACTAACCGCTCTGCCACCGCACTCTCTAGGACACATGTATATGAAATTATTCAGGACCTGAAAATCAGTTCGCAATGTGCATATTTTGCTGTGAGTGTGCTAGACTGTAATAATAATATTATTATTATTATTATTATTATTATTATTATTATTATTATTATTATTATCCTTATTATTATTAAACATATCCACACTCTACAACATGCTCAATGCCCTTTACAACTATTATTATCCCAGCAGAACCTTAAGCACTCAGACACATTCTTAACTTTCCAGGAAGCATACAGAGTAAACTGCCACTTCCCATGCGCTAAAACACTAACACATTAAAGAAATATTTTGCCATCTTTGGCCAGGTATCCATTCACACCAGGCTGAAGTTAGGAAAATTTGTGCAAAGTGCCTTTTTCCATCTGGTCAAGCTGAGTCTTGAACCCCCTAAATCTTCAAACCTGGTAACCTAACCACTAGACTAGCAACACCATGATAAAGAAACTTTCTTAATTTCCCCCTTTCCACCAATTATGAAAATTGGAAACTAACACTCACTTTAGAATAAAACTTTATAATTGTATATGTTTTAAGCTCTCATTGACACAACCTAAAGGGCCTATTACATGCACAGGCCGACCGGACAGGTTTCTGGGCCGAGCGGCTAATCGCAACGTGTAATAACAAATGCGGCTCAAACCGTAGGCGAACACCTGGCGAATGGCCGGCCCGCCGGATGTCAAGAACCCACAGCCGCTTCCTGTGAATTTGACGTCCGGCCATCCGGCCATCCGGCCATCCAGCCTTGAGAGGAGTGCTAACTAATCTTTGAAGTTTGCTGCGCATGGGGACAACAGAAATAATTTCAAAATTATAGAAAATCATGTCGTTGATAAAAAATAATACCAGAATCAGAATCAGCGTATCAAAATTAGGGAAATGGTTTGCGAATGACTTGTTTCGTTTCGTATTTCAGGATTTTCCATTCCTGCACTTTTTTATGCTTTGCACGCGAGACAATAGATGCAAATAATATGTCTCTTCGTCTATTCTCATGAAGTTTTTGATATCTTCTGGAAATGTTCTTACCTCATCCAGCAGATTTGTATGTGATAGCGCATTCCTCTTCAATAACCAATCCTTTGACCACATGCGATGTTGGTTTCTTTTTTAACACGACAAAAATCGCTAAACCATCCAAAACTGTTTTGTCCGCCATGATGCACACACGAGTGTGAAGTTTCACCCAGACTAGGCCTAGTGTGTAGAATATGTTGATCGCGCGGTGCAGCTACTTTCAGGTTGATTGTGGCGTGTAATAATAAACCAAGTTTCCTCGATTTTGTCTGGCCGTACAGCTTGCCTATGGTCAAAAACCTGTCTGGTCGGCCTGTACATGTAATAGACCCTTAAATCATTTAGGAGGGGGGGG